ACCACCGGACCGAGTCCTGGGGGGCTATGATCTTTCCTCTGAAGTCCACTCCCTCGTCGTGTGCTTGGGTTCTGGTCCTGTAGAAGTGTATGAGTTCGGCCTTGTCCGGGTCGAAGGAGACCGCGTTCCTGTCACCCCAGTTTAGGGTGTCTTCCAATTCCCACTGGAGCTTCTGGGCGGTTTCTTTGGTGTCGGCCCCCACTGCCATNATGCCAATGTCGTCCGCGTACCCGAAGCGGGTGTTGGGGTCATTGAGCTTCAGGCTGGGGGAAAAATAGAGCATGGAGACGATGGGGGAGATGGGGGACCCCTGTGGGGCTCCGCATTCCAGCTCCGTCTCCGGGAGGGTGGTCCCGTATCCGTTTCGAACAAGAGCCTTGCGGTCGCTCATGAAGGAGTCGACCCATTTCACAAAGAGGGGGGGCCAACCTTGTTCCCTGAGTCTGTACACCAGGCGGTTGCGCATGACGATGTCGAACGCGCCGGAGATATCGAGTGTAAGGAGGGAGATGACGAGACCCTGGGCCAGGGCGACTTCGGCGTCGTGTAGCAAGCAGGCGACCAGGTCTGTCGCGGACCTTTTTGGGAGAGCCCCGAAATATTGTTCTGGCAGTATTTTGTGTTCCATCGCTAGGAGGGAGACTCTTCTAGCTAGGAGTCTCTCGAGGCCTTTGCCTATACAGGAGAGCAGGGAGATGGGTCTATAGCCTTTGTGCGTAGTGTACGCCTTCTCCGGCTTCCCAGGTTTGGGGATGATGGTGATCTCCGCGCTCCGGAAGGGGAGTGGGTGGTGTCCTATCATCAGGCATCCGCGGAAAAGGTTGGTTACGTACTCGCCGATGGCAGGCCAGGCGAGCTGTAGAAGGGCGACTGATATGCCGTCTGCGCCGGGCGCGGTGTTTCCTGACCCCGTTGTGGCTTTCTTGGCCTCCGGCTCCGACACTGTTTGGTCCCAGTGGATGTTCTTGTTGACGGGAAAGTCCTCTTCCCATGGGTCTGAGATGTCCTCCTCTGTTGTCTTTCGCTTGAGAAGTTTGTCTCTGAGGAAAGTCGCTCTCTCCGTGGGGTCTGAGATGCTTTTGTCCCCGTCTATCAGGGGGGGCGGTTGAAAGCGGTCCGTCGCCTTGCGCCACTTGGCCACTGACCAAATGTTCCTAGTGGCGCTGGCTTCCGCTATGATCTCGTCCCAGTGNGCTCGCTTGCTGCGGCGTATGGAGTCTCTGAGGGTCTTACGGGCTCCCTCTTGGGCGGGGGAGCCGTCTGCCGCTTCTTTGTAGGCCTTGTGGGCTGCTTTGCACTTTTCCGACCACCATGGTGCACTGTGGCCGTTCTGGTGTCTGGTCTTGCCGGCCCCCTCTATGGCTTGTTTGAAGAGGTCCTGCAGGGCCTTGGCGCATTCGTCAAGGTTGGTTTCTGACGGTGTGGTCAGGTCGACCGTGGGGAGGGTCCAAGCGAAGGAGCGCATGAGTTGGCCGAAGTCTTCCCAGCATTCCAACGGGACGTATTTTTTCCCTGCCCCCGGGGTTGTCCTGAGGGGCTCGGGCAGGTTCGTGATCACTGTGTAGTGGTCCGACCCTGTGTTGAGGGAGTGTTCGACCCTGGTTGACGCAGGGCAGTTTGTGAAGACCAGGTCGATGCACTTTCCCGAGTGTCGGGTGGGCGTGTCTATTAGAGCTGGGAGGAGATCGTGCTTCTCCGCCCATTCCGCGATTTTGTTGCCTGCCGGGTCCGCGCCCCTGCCCGGTTCCCAAAGTTGGTGTGAGGCGTTGAAGTCGCCTGCGATGATTGAGCGGGGGGGGGGAGGGCCCCATTTAGTGAGGGTCTCTGTGGCTGAGTCTGCCGAAGCCCTTCGGTAGACGTTGACGATGGTGTAACCGCATACCTCTATCCA